TGAAGCACTCCAGTCTAGGAAACTACCAGAATTGCAAACACTGCTGACACAACTCAGCCTTCAGCGAAGAGTTGTAATGCAGTGGATACCATCACATTGTGGAGTGCCTGGAAATGAGAAAGCTGATCAACTGGCAGGAGAAGGTGTGACAAAAGTGCAGCCGGATGTAGCAGTCACATACCACCAAAAGAAAAGAATCATTAAATCAATCAGGAAACCACCAGCCCCAGCACAAGACGATTATTTTATTATGGACAGATCAGAACAAGTCATTATCCTCCGCCTCAGAACAGGGCACAACCGATTACGTAACCACATGCACACAAAATTCAAGATAGGCGTATCAGCCATATGCACCCGTTGAAAGGTGCCCCAGACAGCAGAGCATGTACTCCAGGACTGCGCCGAATTTGACACATTAAGGCAAACCCTTTGGCCAGAAAGAACAACAGTGGAACGTAAACTCTATGGACCACTGAATGAATTAACAACAACAGTGAAATTTATTCAAGAGACAAAATTGCTGATATAGACAACTTATTTCAGGCGAACGAAAAATAAGAAGAAGAAGACCAGCCAGAATAACCTGTAATCTGATATTGGCCAGGTCCTTGATTATCCCCAGAAATGTGCGACTCCAGAAATATGAGATCCCAAAAAGGTGCGACCACAGAAATGTGCGAACCAATATTGGTGTGCTGGTGAATCGGTACTCTACATGTGATGACCTGGGTCCACAAGAAAAGCAAAGTAGCACTGTAACCTTTCATGCACGTCACAAGAGGCGATAAAGGAGGTTTGGCAAGTAGTTTAGACTAGCTAACTCATCCTGCTAAAAAAATGTAAGTCAAGAATCCAACCAGTCGTGAACAAGTTTGCAGATACAAGGGGTTGGCGTAAACTGGTTGATGGCCTGAATTCATATGAAAGATGGGAGGCAGGTGACGCAAGCAGAACAACAAGAGAGTTAGCGGAATTCTCTGGATGTTGTGATCAATATCAGACTTCCCGACTTCATGTCTCAAAAACATTTACAATATGCCTTTTTAGACCAGATTTGTCTGTCTGATTGGCCTAACTGTAACAGTTCGTTTCGGTAAGGATTCAGTGTAAGTATCACAGTGCTTGTAGGCAAACGTGCTGGCCGTTTCTTGCCCTAGCTCTCAGATTATGAACATTTGGAGCATCTACCAATCATGGAGTGATTGCTACCTGGCTATCTCGCTACCATGTTTACGTATTTACGATAGCTGTTTACCATGAGTTAGAAGCTATGGAATCAGTGGGTGTTGCGAAATGGAGGCTAGGAGAAATGAGAGCATGTATTCATTAGAAATGAAAATGGCTCAGAAAAGAAAAGAAAAAAGTGAAAGAGTATAAGAAGGAAACGAGTTAGAAACAATTTATAATTTGTGTAACGTAAAAACAAAGATTTGATGATTAAAGCGAATTCTCTCTTCCTCTCTTCTTCAGGTTCTGCGAGAAGTGCATACATGGTTACATTCTCGGCTCACAAGACCAGCCCAGTGGTCTATTCAAAGAGCAAGGATTTAAGTGTCCTATGTGCAGAGAATTTATTAAAGCACCAGATTCCAGAAAGCCACCCGTTATGTGGGCTGCTCTGCTGAAAACTGACTTCCATCTCAAGAACCTGATCAGAATCGTTCTGTCCAGGAAGTTTCCAGTTCTGTCTAAAAGTGAAGCTGATGAACCTAAATGTGAGAAAGTCCATACGGAGCGCCAAAGAACGAAATACTGCGCAGATTGTCATGCAGTTATTTGTCCAGCATGTGCAGAGAAGTATCATGAAGAATGCGCCATGATCTTGCCCCTTAGGGAAGCAGCTGCTGACCAACGAGCCAGAGCAGCGATATGGTTGAGTGAAATATCCCCGACACTAAAGGATGCCAGTAGGCTGACGAAGTGCGAGAGAAACGCCAGGAAGAACTGGAGCAGCAAAAGGCAACTGTAAGACAGTTGATAATCAGACAAGCGGAGGAAATCAGACAGCTTGTTCAACAAGAGGAGAATAAGTTATTGGAGAAATTGGACCAGGAAGTAGAGGCCCAGCAAAACAAAATTGCACTGGAAGGCATAATGTTTAACGATAAACTTTCCAGTTATAAGGAAAAATTCAAAACTGTATCTGCATCGCTGAAAATTGGGTCAGACCTGGAACTGATGGGCAGTAGAGAGTTCACAGAGAGCGCTAGTGGCGATGCAGGGGAGATCAGCCTGGTCGAATACGAAAGTTTTATCAACAGTTTGTCTGGTCTAACCGTCACCTTCCATCAGGGGAAGATGCCACAGGTATCTCTTGGCAATGTTACCGTTACTTTCCTACGTCAACTTCCTGCTCCACTCATACACTTGCTGGACTAACAGGCATGTATCACCATTCATACAGGACTATTGTTCACCGATGAATTTCTATAGGTTGTCACCCCTTTACTTGTATTTTTTTTTCATTTTGTATTTTTAAATTGAAAACAGAAGGCTGTTCCTCTTTGTGCATGTCAAAAGTGGGGTGGCCACCTTTAAACTGTCATTATGACGTCACCGTTTTTGTCTGCACTTGTGATGTCACGTGCGTAACACTCGTGACATCCTTGACGACAATATGGATAGGCTACAAGGCGAAGGCGATGGCATAGTTATTGTAATTTCTAGCACATTGTAAGGTTTTTATTTGAATGATTAATTCAGTGATTTTACATATTTAATTTTTTCAGTCCCAAATAATGCACAATGTGTATTATATAGTATTCATGTCCACCAATAAACAGGTTTTGTATATGTATACATCTTAGTCAGGTAAACGAACTCATTCTAGTAAGCCAAATCACCCCCTATGTGTTGCGTATTTGGACCTTGTGGATGCAGTATACCCATGCCTTTGTTGTCATCGTTACTGCTTCAATCATGCTTCAGTTGTGATCTTTTGAGACTGCAAGAGTTAGCAATCGACATCATAACACACGGGGTGTACCCATAGGTGCTCCGTCTCCCATAGCAAATGTCTTAAGGCGTTGATGCTAACTTATTATTAATTTGTTGTTCTCTGATTATAAATTCATTGTTCTTTGATTATAAATTCATCGATTCGTCCTCTCCCCCGTCCTTTTTTGCCTGATCCACACCTAATTCCTCGTTCACATATTCGTACACAAGCCATATCATGAAATCTCGTCTCGTCTGTCGTTGTTTTTTCATGGAATTCAAAGAACTGATAAATAACAGTGAATGGAACATTGAACCTGCCTAGAGGTCTCTAGCAAGTGTGAGAACAATTCACTATGTGAGTTCCAGGGCCCCATTGTGGATGGGGGGGGGGGGGATCCACTGCCCCCTAACAAGCATACTGTAAAAGTCGACTAATTAGGGGCGTTTTCTTTGAAATCGAAGAGTAAATGCATGACAGGCAAGGAACCAACACTCTGCAAACAAATAAACCGCATCTGTTAAAAAAAAAAAAAAAAAATATATATATATATATATATATATATATATATATATATATATATATATATATAATATATATATATGTATATATATAAAACAAACAATGTACACGTAAAAATCAAGTTCTGAAATAAGAATGAAGTCCAGAAGTGGAAGTACAACCAGAAGTTTCCACTGGAGTTTATAGGAGGTAAACGTACAGAAGAAAAGGAAGAAGACAGAAGTAACCTGCTCTTATGCCCCTAACTAATTAATTAGACAGAAGTAACCTGCTCTTATGCCCCTAACAAATACATTAGACAGAAGTAACCTGCTCTCATGCCCCTAACTAATTAATTAGACAGAAGTAACCTGCTCTCAAGCCCCTAACAAATACATTAGACAGAAGTAACCTGCTCTCATGCCCCTAACAAATAAGTTAGACAGAAGTAACCTGCTCTCATGCCCCTAACAAATAAGTTAGACAGAAGTAACCTGCTCTCATGCCCCTAACAAATAAGTTAGACAGAAGTAACCTGCTCTTATGCCCCTAACAAATAAGTTAGACAGAAGTAACCTGCTCTCATGCCCCTAACAAATAAGTTAGACAGAAGTAACCTGCTCTCATGCCCCTAACAAATAAGTTAGACAGAAGTAACCTGCTCTCATGCCCCTAACAAATAAGTTAGACAGAAGTAACCTGCTCTCATGCCCCTAACAAATAAGTTAGACAGAAGTAACCTGCTCTTATGCCCCTAACAAATACATTAGACAGAAGTAACCTGCTCTCATGCCCCTAACTAATTAATTAGACAGAAGTAACCTGCTCTCATGCCCCTAACTAATTAATTAGACAGAAGTAACCTGCTCTCATGCCCCTAACTAATTAATTAGACAGAAGTAACCTGCTCTCAAGCCCCTAACAAATAAGTTAGACAGAAGTAACCTGCTCTCAAGCCCCTAACAAATAAGTTAGACAGAAGTAACCTGCTCTTATGCCCCTAACAAATAAGTTAGACAGAAGTAACCTGTTCTCATGCCCCTAACAAATAAGTTAGACAAAAGTAACCTGCTCTCATGCCCCTAACAAATAAGTTAGACAGAAGTAACCTGCTCTCATGCCCCTAACACATAAATTAGACAGAAGTAACCTGTTCTCATGCCCCTAACTAATTAATTAGACAGAAGTAACCTGCTCTCAAGCCCCTAACAAATACATTAGACAGAAGTAACCTACTCTCAAGCCCCTAACAAATAAGTTAGACAGAAGTAACCTGCTCTCAAGCCCCTAACTAATAAATTAGACAGAAGTAACCTGCTCTCATGCACCTAACACATAAATTAGACAGAAGTAACCTGCCCTGAGGTCACTAACTAACAAAAGAACTTAGACAGGTGCAAATCTCTCCTGAGATACCAACACAAAAGTGAAACAGGAAGAATCTACCGTGAGACAAGTTATAATAAATCAGACACCGCAGTCAATCAAATGACATATAACACATATAAAGGACAAAAATAATATGTGCCGAAGACGAACATTAACATACAATTCCTGTTTAATTATTTGAATCCCATAAATATTTAGGATCTCCGAGTGTTTCCGCTAGCTGTTTGTTATATTTAGAATAAAATTTGTCGAGAATAAGTCGAGTTTCTGGCATCATTGGCCCAGCTTGTCTCGCCTGGTCGGTTTTCTCGAAAGCTCTGGGCATTTTCTGTATGTTATCTAGTTCACTGTCTGACAAGGAGCCTGTGGACAGATGATATGAAGATGAACTCAGTGCATGCCAAGCAACCCATGATCGGCTACCCTTAAGTAAAGTAAAAAAAAGTAAAGATCCCTTTTCACGCCTTTAGGGGCATCAGGCATATGGGTAGTAAGATTGGACGCCCGTGTGCATTATTACGCAAGTAAAAAAATCACTTGGCAGTTGGCAATCGAAACGAGTAGCCTAACTGCTATTCCGGGGAAAATTAGGAATTAAAAATCTACCCAAAGGGTCCCCACCGGTGCTACGGAGTTCGTGCATTGCGCTGAGAAAATTCAGACACAGGCTTGAGTTAGAAGTAGAAAGGAGCACTTATGGGTCACTATCCTTGTGCCATGATGTTGATCCGTTGTTTAAACCTAAACAGATTCCCAGTATACTGACATATTCAATACACGCTACCTAGGTTGCATATCACAGGTGAGTACTTATTCCTAACACAACCAAATCATTTAATGCACACCTTGCCAATCATTTTGCCATCCTCTGATCAATTATTCCCAGGACAATGAAATACCTTTACAAACGCTACACCAAGCAGTCAAACATGGGCCCCAATGCAACTAAAGATAAAACAGAGTTCGGATGTCTTAGCGTCTTAGAAAAGCTACCCAAGAAACAAGAAGAGACAACATTAACAATGAAGAAATCTGAAGAAGATGAGATCCGACTCCGGTCATGTAAATCATTAAAGGAAAAAAATGCGATAATCTGGCCATTGGACGAGACTAGTTTGGCATTAGCTGCCACAAATAGCCACGACCAAGAAATACAATACACACAGAGCAAAAGGGAAGACCATGTCACCTTTTACACCTCTTCTTGAAGAAATGAAGACCAACTTCAGCAAGGCACCGGAAAGAGCACACATACAACAGGGCTATTTTAGCGTAGTTGGCTAAACCTGACTTCTCGACGACCGGGTGACGAACTCCTTGTGGTCCGGGTTCACGCCCGGGGGTAGTCAGAAAAGCCACATTTTTCCCAGATTTACGGTATTTATCATGGAATCAAGGCCGAAGGGTTGCGATATCCATAGTACCGAGCTAAACGGTTAACAGCTCATGGTTTCTGGATATTTTAAAAAAAAAGGGATTAAATATTTGGAAATGGGGATCGTCACGGATCAGTGACCTAAGCCCCAGCATAGAACGGTCAATAATTCACTACAACTGGAAGGTGATCCGCGGGCCATTTGCTAGGCCTTAGGGGGCCAGATTTGCCCCGGGCCGCCATTTCAATAGCCCTGACATAGAAGAACCTAACCCCCCCCCCCCCATACCCCCATTTAGCCTTGCTTTTTCTAGGTAGTCCCACTCGTCACCGCAATGGGCCATGAAAAGACTGGAAGGTGTTCAATTATTGCCCTGAAATCCTTCGAAAATAAATACTCAAAATCAGTGAAGCAAATGGTTGTGATTTTTTTTTTGACTGACTCAACAGCTAAAACACTAATGTATATCAATAGCCACATTAATGTGTATGGTACTCACGCAGCTGTAGAAAGTCATAGACTCGCTTCATGTAAGACTTGATATCTTTAGAGTAGTCTTCGTTTCTGAGAATCATGATCTGGTTTCGGGGAAACACTTTAAGCCATTGCTTGAGAAAGATATCGTACATCCCAACAATGATCCGGGACTGCAAAAATGCATTAAACGTATTTAGTTCTTTCAATGTTAGCCCATGCATGTAGAGTTTAATGCCATCAACATTCACTGGACTACCGGAAAGAGTTATAAAACTGAAAACCAATCTGTACTTATGTTTTATTTAATATACGAAATCCCCTGACTGTATAAAACACGAGGAAATAATCAAACAACAAAACGTTGATAGAAAAGTTCTACTAATAATAAAGAACATGTATTGGTAGCAAACAACAGTATAAGAATTAACAACCACTCGGGAACATGTCAGAGCATAAAAAAGGAGCGTACGACAAAACTGATGATGATGTGCAACTTTATCGGCGTCTGAAGCTTTGGGTTAATGAATGCAAGTATATAATTAAGAAAATTAATGGGCTCGTGGGTTCGAATGCGAAATGAGCAGGACTGGTTTTCAAAATACGACCTCGGCTCCCATGTCGATTCTAACCTAAATATATACAAGATAAAGTCCAAAGAAGTAAATAAAGACATCCGGCGTGATATTGACCACATCACCTGGAGGAAGACTTGATGTTGACCATATCACCCATGGGAAGACTTGATGCTGACCACATCACCTATAGGAAGACTTGATGTTGACCATATCACCCACGGGAAGACTCGATGCTGACCACATCACACATGGGAAGACTTGATGTTGACCATATCACCCATGGGAAGACTTGATGTTGACCACATCGCCTATGGGAAGACTTGATGTTGACCACATCGCCTATGGGAAGACTTGATGTTGACCACATCGCCTATGGGAAGACTTGATGTTGACCACATCGCCTATGGGAAGACGTGATGTTGACCACATCGCCTATGGGAAGACTTGATGTTGACCACATCGCCTATGGGAAAACTTGATGTTGACCACATCGCCCATGGGAAGACGTGATGTTGACCATATCACCCATGGGAAGACGTGATGTTGACCATATCACCCATGGGAAGACGTGATGTTGACCATATCACCCATGGGAAGACGTGATGTTGACCACATCGCCTATGGGAAGACGTGATGTTGACCACATCACCCAGTGGAAGACGTGATGTTGACCACATCGCCTATGGGAAGACTTGATGTTGACCACATCGCCTATGGGAAGACGTGATGTTGACCACATCACCCAAGGGAAGACTCGATATTGACCACATCATCCACTGAATGCCGATTGGTCTTTTGCTTAGTTTATATGAATTTATGTAACCTGTGGCACCATTTATATAGTTTGAGATTAATCCTGTCCGTATTCTATAGTTATGGATTTCATGTTGTACAATAGACATTGCCAATGAAGACACCTGTTTTAGGGGGTGCCTAGTTGTAGTGTTCTTAGTATACTTGTTTCTAAAGCGAGACCCACACGCCATTTCGAGGCGTCAGGTTTGATTTCTGGCACGATAACTATAGCTTTCGATTTTTATGTTGTCTAGTGTGCCTTTCTATCTTTTTAATTCTTTCTACGAGTACTGATCATAACGGGTCTTCAACCGCATCCGACAGGAAACGTAATCCAGGGATCAAGCTAACTTAGTTACAACCAGTACGAGCAGGGAACATAAGCCAGGGATGAACTAACTGTTAGTAACAACCAGTACGAGCAGGGAACATAAACCAGGGATGAACTGACTGTTAGTAACAACCAGTACGAGCAGGGAACATAAGCCAGGGATGAACTGACTGTTAGTAACAACCAGTATAGGGAACATAAACCAGGGATGAACTGACTGTTAGTAACAACCAGTACGGGGAACATAAACCAGGGATGAACTGACTGTTGGTAACAACCAGTACGGGGAACAACATAAGCCCGGGATGAACTGACTGTTAGTAACAACCAGTGCGGGGAACATAAACCAGGGATGAACTGACTGTTAGTAACAACCAGTACAGGGAACATAAACCAAGGATGAACTTACTGTTAGTAACAACCAGTATGTGGGACATAAACCAGGGATGAACTGACTGTTAGTAACAACCAGTACGGGGAACATAAGCCAGTGATGAACTAACTGTTAGTAACAACCAGTACGAGCAGGGAACATAAACCAGGGATGAACTGACTGTTAGTAACAACCAGTACGGGGAACATAAGCCAGAGATAAACTGACTGTTAGTAACAACTAGTACGGGGAACATAGCCAGGGATGAAGTGACTGTTAGTAACAACCAGTACGGGGAACATAAACCAGGGATGAACTGACTGTTGGTAACAACCAGTACGGGGAACAACATAAGCCAGGGATGAACTGACTGTTAGTAACAACCAGTACGGGGAACATAAACCAGGGATCAAGCTAACTGATCTAACTAGTACGGACAGGGCCGGATTTAAACTTAATGGGGTCCACAGCTATACAAAACCCTCGACTCCATTCCGTGTTCAACCATGCCAGTAAATATCAGAAAATTGTAATGATCAAAAATATATGAGTTATTAAAAAGTGGAAGTTGAATAAATCAGAAGTCAGAATAAATAGGCCTGCGATATCATAAATATACCTGCGCTTGGGAATCAGCTGTGTGTGTTTAATCTGTCCAGTCATCTCCTTGTGAGTTGCAGCTTTTTGTTATTGGAAGCCCTACTCTGGCTCTTGCCAGGGGTCGCAATATAGCCCGGCCATAAATATGGTCTAATGGCTGAACGCGGTTTCTGGGACCTGTCCACGAGTGATCCTCACCCACATGGTGATACCTTGTGTCATCGGGTGTTTATCGCTTGTTTATCCTAGGTGGGGTAAAATGTACTGCTACTAATCATCTGTACCCACATGTAGTAATAATTGTAACTGACCCGCAAAGCATGTTGAGAAAGGTGGAGACAGGCATGTTTGTGCAGAGTGGCAAGCATAGCTTCAGAGGTCCGGGGTAGCGCCCTTTTGATGTCTTCTCCAGGTTCTGCTGGTGTGTTGGGAAAACAGCAGGCAGATAAACTGGCCGGATCTGCAGCACTTGGTGGTGAATTGATGTACGACAAGCTAGATGTTGTTAGAGCGACTGAAAAGTGCTGAGGCACAAATAGATCATTACGGTCTGAGGAGAATGGCGCTGCGAGCAGTCAGTTACCAGTGGATATCGCCAGCGCTCACAACTCAAAATAAAAGTGAGTCGGATATACAATCAGTTACAGGTACCACCGGAATTGAAACTCTTCATTTGCTGCTGTAGATAGGGAGGAAACGCATATGAGAGTATCCCAAGTACTGTGTTGTCGACTCCTAATTACACATTCAACGATAATATACACACAATTTTTTTTTTTTTTTAATGTGTGAGGCTCCCACAGAATGAACGAACGAAGAAACGAACAAACAAATTTTATTTTCAAAGGGTTACACATTGGGCACGCAGTCCCGTCTGACATTTGGCCCTTCTAAGCACTCATTTTTCAGAGTACTAATGCCTGGTATCAATAATGCATCTTTTGGATGTAATAAAGAAATATACATTATGGAATAATGTATACACACATCGTGTGTACACAGTCTTACGCACTCAAACACACACACACGTATACATACTCTTACATTCTCATACATGCACAATCATATACAGGCATACGTAATACATACGTACACAAAACATAAACACACACACACACATACATACATACATACATAGAAATACATGCACAAACATAAAACACATATATATACATACATAGATATACATGCACATACACATTCTATACATACACACCTACACATGCACAGACATGCATAGACATGCACAGACTGTGAATGAGCTGTAGCTTCTTCAACGAATGCCTGAATCGAGGACTGAATACAGGTTAATATAACTGAAAAATCATGCCTAGTAGCAACACACCGGTATGTTCATGTGAAGCTGCTTGCTGTAGAGGCACTCTAACTGGGGTCGTCTGCTGACGCAGTCTTCCAGCATGGATATCGACTTGAGCACATCGCGATGGAACCCAGCGGCAGAGGCGTAGGCCTTTCGATTCTCCTTGAAATCGTCCAGGAACAGGTAGTCCGAGTACAACCTAGGTCACATACAAGAGAATATGTATGAGTGACAGGATAACCTAGGTCACATACAAGAGAATATGTGGGAATGACAGGACAACCTAGGTCACATACAAGAGAATATGTATGAGTGACAGGATTACCTAGGTCACATACAAGAGAATATGTATGAGTGACAGGATTACCTAGGTCACATACAGGAGAATATGTGGGAGCGACAGGATAACCTATGTCACATACAAGAGAAAATGTATGAGTGACAGGATTACCTAGGTCACATACAGGAGAATACGTGTGAGTGACAGGATAACCTAGGTCACATACAAGATAATATGTGGGAGTGACAGGATAACCTAGGTCACATACAAGAGAATACGTGTGAGTGACAGGATTACCTAGGTCGCATACAAGAGAATACGTGTGAGTGACAGGATAACCTAGGTCGCATACAAGAGAATATGTGGGAGTGACAGGATAACCTAGGTCACAAACAAGAGAATATGTGGGAGTGACAGGATAACCTAGGTCACAAACAAGAGAATATGTGTGAGTGACAGGATAACCTAGGTCACATACAAGAGAATATGTGTGAGTGACAGGATAACCTAGGTCACATACAAGATAATATGTGGGAGTGACAGGATAACCTAGGTCACATACAAGAGAATACGTGTGAGTGACAGGATTACCTAGGTCGCATACAAGAAAATATGTGGGAGTGACAGGATAACATAGGTCACATACAAGAGAATATGTGGGAGTGACAGGATAACCTAGGTCACAAACAAGAGAATATGTTGGAGTGATAGGATAACCTAGGTCACAAACAAGAGAATATGTGTGAGTGACAGGATAACCTAGGTCACATACAAGAGAATATGTGTGAGTGACAGGATAACCTAGGTCACATACAAGATAATATGTGGGAGTGACAGGATAACCTAGGTCACATACAAGAGAATACGTGTGAGTGACAGGATTACCTAGGTCGCATACAAGAAAATATGTGGGAGTGACAGGATAACATAGGTCACATACAAGAGAATATGTGGGAGTGACAGGATAACCTAGGTCACAAACAAGAGAATATGTTGGAGTGATAGGATAACTTAGGTCACATACAAGAGAATATGTGTGAGTGACAGGATAGCCTTTCCAGGTAGCTCCCCCCCCCCCCCCCACCTCACCGCCACCCCGCTGTTTCTGTATCAGAGGGGTGCTATAGTAACTGCAGCTGTAACTCACATGTGTTACGTCAGCTCGCCCTGTCAGAGGGTCCTCCTCCTCATCCTTCATCTTCTTCTTCGTTGTCTTCTTCCTACTCTACTACTATTACTACTACTACTACTACTACTACTACTACTACTACTACTACTACTACTACTACTACTACTACTACTACTACTACTACTACTACTACTACTACTACTACTACTACTACTACTACTACTACTACTACTACTACTACTACTACTACTACTACTACTACTACTACTACTACTACTACCACTACTACTACTACTGTTTTATAAACAAAAGCAGTTCCACCCAAGATAAGCTGACTGACTTGTCTGTCCTTGCCTACAACACATGTTCATATGATGGTCAATGAGATAGACTTACCTCTCTGTCGGATTCCTAAATATGACAATGAGTTTGACATCTGGCGTGAGATGTTTGATACAGTGTGGGGTGAGGAAAGCTTCTTCTACCGATCTGTTTTTATTTTGTGGAATTAAATTCCAACCGGTGAAATCCCAGAAGAGGGTAGGGCTGCCTTCACCTGAAGCGAGAAAACGGTCAACATGCCACATGTCGTTAAAGGGTTACTGGAAATAACAGACGTACATTTTGAAGTCAGGGATAAGCCGTGGTGTAGCGGCTAGACTCTACTCTGCGGGTCTGAAGGTGGTGGGTTCAGCTCCTGTCAGAGTCGCCACCCATTTTTTCTTCACAAATGACTTTGGCCTACAGGTTGACTCAGCGATAAATGGGAAGTAAAAGCGGTTGGCGTGATGATAACCACCTCACTTGCCTTATGCCAATTGGTATATAATTTATAGGTCTAACCGTGTACACCCAATACGTTTAAATACGTAGAAAATGGTCCTTCACATTTGTAGGTCAAGTAAAAGTAAAGCCACATTTCTTAGCCAATGGCGTTTCGGGCGCATAAACAGTGGCCCTAACAGCCGAGACTCCCAGCTGCACCTCCATGTGGCGGAGGAAGGGTAACAGGCGGTGATTGTGTGATCACATCTGGGGAAAAACTCGGCATTACAGCATTCAGGTAAAAGTAAAGTAAAAAGTAAAAGTAACGATCCGCTTTTCACGCCTTTAGGCATCGAGCATATGGGAAGAGCACCCATATTTTTACAGACAAATCGGCACTAGGTGGGTAATGTGGTTAGCATTACGCCGGCCGTCTTTACTTCCCCAGGAAGTATCCATTTTAGGCTGGGTCGACCTGCGATGCCCCAAACCATGAAAAAATCCACGCAGTCAGTAGCGGGTTTCGATCGCGGTACGTTGGAATTACGAGTCAGACTCGCAACGCCCAAGCCACGGAAGCCGCACAGCATTCAGGACAACCCTATCTTTGCTCCGTATCCCTCCTCAACAGACAGCGAAGCGTTTATCCGTTGTCATCTGGTTAACTACTCATCTTGCCTTTCCTCTGAGTCTCGAGTGGCACCCAGAACCCACAGCCACTCTTCACTACATCATTTTCTCCAGGTGCTGGTTTTTGGTATCTTCCATTTCACCTGTTACCCTGTCCCACAGGTTTGGGATCACCTCTGTCTTGTGCAGATACAGTACACCCCAAATGGAGCCTTTCCAGCCTGCCCATCTGCCTGCTAATTCCCAGACACACTGTGAATAGCGTGATGATATCCACGTCACTTGCACCACCGTGCCCACTTGGTAATATAATAATATCTAGGTCATAAGAAGTACAACCAATACGTTCAAAGACGTAAAAAAGCGGGCTTGGCGACATTTGGACACTCAAATAAGAAGTAAAGCCAACGAATTTCTTAGCCAATGGCGTTTCGGGCCGCATAGACAGTGGCCTAACAGTCGAGACTTCCCAACTGCACCTCCATATTTTCAGAGGAAGCCGTAACAGGCGGTGATTGTGTTGATCTTCTTCTGGGGAAAAACTTCTGCCTTTACAGCATTCCAAAGGTAGCAAAGCCCTAAAGTAAAACGTAAAAGTAACGATCCGTTTCCTTCGCCTTTAGGCATCGAGCATATGGGCCATGAGCACCCAATATTTTTACAGACAAATCAGCAGCTAGGTGGGTCCATGGTTAGCATTTTGGCCTTCGTTTTATTACTATCCCCTGGGGTTGCCAATACAAATCCATTTTTAGGCTGGGTCATTTTGAGGCCTGCCTATATCCCCAGACCATGAAAAAATCCAGGCAGCCAGTACTCAGACTCGCAACGCCCAAGTGAACACGGACGCCGCACAGCATTCAGGTATAACCCTATATTTGCTCCGTCTATCCCTCCTCAACAGAACAGCGAAGGAGTTTACCCGTTGTCATCTGGTTAACTACTCATCTTGCCTTCCCTCTGAGTCTCGAGTGGCACCCAGAACCCACAACCACTCTTCACAGCATCATTTTCTCCAGGTGCTGGTTTTTGGTATCTTCCATTTCACCTGTGACCCTGTCGCACAGGTTTGGGATCACCTTTGTCTTGTGCAGATACAGTACACCCCAAATGGAGCCTTTCCAGCCTGCCCATCTGCCTGCTAATTCTCAGACACACCTGAATGGCCTGGGCAAAATATCCGCGTGACTCCCACCACCTGTGACCACTAAATGATATAATCTATTCCATAAGAAGAAAACCCACCTTCACCTTCCTGGGCGGGCTTGGCGAATCGGACACTATGAAAGCATGTGTGGCTAACGATTTTTTTTTAACCCATCGGAAAGCCGCAGTTACCTCCGTAGCCTGTATTCTCATGCTCTATTTAGTAATTTTCAGACTGAGCCGTCCAGGATTTGAATTGATCCTCTTTCTCAGTTGTCTGTCTTTGTCCATGTCTCATACAGTAAGCGTGAAACATAACGTTTTACACTAGATGTTTAATGTATTGCTTACTTCTCTGTTGCCAGTAACGCTAGAACAACAAAAATATCCCATAACCTGATGGAAATATCCCATGTTGTCACGTAAGGAGAACAAGAACATCCTAGGATGGTGGTATCTTGTGTTGCCAGATGACGATACTTACCCGTAACCAGATGATGGTATGTCCGGTTGCCAAGTCTGGACACAGTTTGGTTAATTTTCTCTGCAGGAGGGTCGAAATTCTGGAGGTACCAGTCAAAATGAAGGATTTCTAAGTTGTTTAACCAAATGTCAAAACCTGGTGTGAAAACAAATAAGGAGTTCGCGCAAACTAATTAGATATAATTTATCCGAACAACATACAATTTTCTTATGTCTTTTCGTCTCCTTCTGTAACTTTGTCTTCGTCACCTTTCGAGGCTCCAAGTTAGGAAAACAGGAAAGACACCCCCCCCCCCTTTCCTCCAACAAACAGGTAAAAGACGATTAATTATAGACATTTACTTCGAAATAGAAGGGTATCGTTCCGAGAGGTGAGAAACCAACAATCTGCACACAAGTAAATCAGATCAGTAAAAGTAATGTGCACGCAAAACTCATGTTTATAAAAACAAAACAAAAAACTCCTTCTAAGACGAAACATCTTGATCACGTTAACCAGTGTTCTTCTTTAGCTAGTTCGTGTTAACTTTGTTTTACTGTGTATAATGTTATGTATGATAAGAAAATATAATAATGTATTTAAAATAATATGAAATGTATAAACAAATATTGTACGATGATGACGAAAGGCAGACACCGGCCTCCCTGAAAGTAGATACAAGACACTGAAGATGCACACACAATAGAAGCACATAAGGCTGGAGAATTGGCTAGAGAGTTATAGCATACTGTAAAGAGAGCGACCAGAACGAGAAAGACCAACTGAATGATGACGATAAATACGTAAAAAGAGAAGTTCTGACCATCTCTCCTCAAGCAGGCCTGAACCCCAAGTTTCGGTGTATGTCTGGTCATCTCTACTCAAGCAGGAATAAGCCCCAGGTTTCGGTGTATGTCTGGTCATCTCTACTCAAGCAGGCCTGAGCCCCACGTTTCGGTGTATGTCTGGTCATCTCTACTCAAGCAGGACTGAGCCCCAAGTTTCGGTGTATGTCTGGTCATCTCTACTCAAGCAGGAATGAGCCCCAAGTTTCGGTGTATGTCTGGTCATCTCTACTCAAGCAGGCCTAAGTCCCACGTTTCGGTGTATGTCTGGTCATCTCTACTCAAGCAGGCCTAAGCCCCACGTTTCGGTGTATATCTGGCCATCTCTCCTCAACCAGGCCTGAGCTTCAAATTTCGGTATATGTCTGGTCATCTCTACTCAAGCAGACCTGAGCTCCTAAGTTTCGGTGTCTATATTGGCCATCTCTCTCCTATGTCTTGACATACAAAATGCAAGTACCTAAAACTGCACACTATCCTAGTTTTGCTTGTTTATTTATCTGTTTATTTGGATGTTATTATATGAAATCCCGCCTGTTCTATACAACTGTTCACCAAATTATGTGACGCGTCGCACTGAAAACAAATATAAAAATACAAATATATCCGTACATCTGTACCGATCCTGACATCCGTAGGTGCTTGAAGTGTTTACTCTCAAAATTATTGAGATTATTTGCAAGTGTTGTTGTAGGTACACAAAATCCTGAACTGAAAAACAATAAAACTGTTTTACTGCGAGTTTACTGATTTTTTTTTTTTTTTTAGATAAGCACGGCTGTTTAGTTTACAAGTAAGCCCACGATGAAAACAGCCATGTTTATTACTTTAAGCCCACGATGTAAACATCGATTTAGGTAACTTTAGAGCTCAAATGTCGCTAAAGAAGATTATTTAAAAAATAAAATTTACAAAAAAGACAATTATTTGCCAATCCTATATAAGTAAGTAAAGGACCGTTTTCCACGCCTTTAGGCATATAGGGCATAGACCTTTATTTTATAGACAATCGGCACAAGATGGGTGATGTGGCCAGCATCACGCCAGCCGCCTCTTCTTCCCGAAATGCACCCGGTACCAACTCAAGGATTAGTTGATCTGGGAGCCAAGGTCATTTTTGAAAATAGTCCGGCTCCGCCAGGGAGCGAACCCACGACCTTCCGATCCGCGGCGAGCGTCTAGCCGCTCCGCAATGGCGACTCTCATATCCTTTATAGGACATTGCAAAAATAAACACCAACATTTGTTGACAGAGCCATCCCAACAGCGTTATGGGCCCCTGGGCAAACCAGTGTGCTGGCGCCTCTACAACAAACCCTCACAGACATGGCATTTTTATGTATGACAAGTCACTTGATGAACACAGACTAGGATGGGACTCCCACTCTCGTGGCACCCCCTCCCCACCCCTCGCGCCCCCCTTCCGGCATGTGCCCAACCGGTCCATGTGTTGAAGGTTCCGTAGGTCGGTAGTTTCTGGTTTCACAATAAAGTTTTCATGTTCAATAGTGTCTTCCTCTGCCCCCTTTCTGCTTGGACTTTCCCACCGTCACAACGAACTCTAGTTTTCTCAATCTCGTGACAGGACCAGCGAATATAGATGGTCTCTTTCTGATATGGTGTCACGAATTAATATAAAACCAAACGAAAAAAAGCATTAGGCTTTATAATATAACAAACACAAATGGAAAGCAAACCTTGCGGCTAGAGAGCCTTCATCAGCACATTGCATAAATCAACAAAACCACATGTACAAACACGAATACACACACATATACACACACACAACCCACCAAACCGTCTCCACGACCACCAGTGGGTCTCCTTGTCTAAAATGGCGGCAGGTTTCAGGATATCCGGGTGTGCAGAGACCCGAAACCACAAGTCTGTTGTTCCGCTTTTGTCAACGCCGATGATGTGGAAGTAAGGTAGGCACCGTAACTTTTTTACAGCTGGAGAATGTGACGTCACATACCAGCAAGGATTTTTAAAGTCTGTCAGATAATCGGGTCGTTTCTGGTAGGAGAAGCCATATTTTTATTATAAAAGTTTAGCTAAATAAATAATTTACAGAAAAGTGATTTCTCCGGTCAACAGCAAGAACACTTCTCCACATTCTTCAGTAGTTCGAGTGACGAAACAGCTTTGTGTCTGTTTGCAGCATAGCTGTGTTATTTGTCTTTCCGCCGACGCATCCGACTGTATGGATTATTTGTTGTCTGGATTAGCATTTCATTTTCGTGATACATTAATTATTTTGTCGTTTATCTTGACTACTTGATCTGCAGGTGTCCTCCCCCCCCCCCCCCCCCCCACTAACCAAAACACAACAAAAAACATCAGTGGACACCTGGGGAAACTTTGTTCATGCCGGTCAGCCCTCAAGAAAGAAAAGAAAGGGGAAGAGGGCGGGGGAGGGGTGGGAAAGAACATGGCCATTCTTCGGCACCCAAGACGTCTTCCATTTTTGCAGATCCGAGACACAAGGCTCTGTGACTGGGTAATACAGATCCGAGACATGTCGCTCTGTGACTGGGTAATGAAGATCCGAGACATAAGGCTCTGTGACTGGGTAATACAGATCCGAGACATGACGCTCTGTGACTGGGTAATGAAGATCCGATACATGGCACTCTGTGACTGGGTAATACAGATCCGATACATGGCGCTCTGTGACTGGGTAATACAGATCCGATACATGGCGCTCTGTGACTGGGTAATACAGATCCGAGACATGGCGCTCTGTGACTGGGTAATGAAGATCCGAGACATAAGGCTCTGTGACTGGGTAATACAGATCCGAGACATGGCGCTCTGTGACTGGGTAATGTAGATCCGAGACATGTCGCTCTGTGACTGGGTAATGAAGATCCGAGACATGGCGCTCTGTGACTGGGTAATGAAGATCCGATACATGGCGCTCTGTGACTGGGTAATACAGATCCGAGACATGTTGCTCTGTGACTGGGTAATACAGATCCGAGACATGTCGCTCTGTGACTGGGTAATGCAGATCCGAGACATGACGCTCTGTGACTGGGTAATACATATCCGAGACATGTCGCTCTGTGACTGGGTAATGAAGATCCGAGACATGACGCTCTGTGACTGGGTTCACCCAAGGAATCATCCCGTCCCGAACAAGACTGTTTAGCCTGACGACACTGCACTGAGCCGTCGACTCATCCAAATCTGTGCTTTTTGGATCCATAGATTGCAGCCCATACACCAGATTCTTGGTGACCTTCACGAAACAAGCCTTTCACTTTCTCACGATGTTAGACTGTACTCACACTGTTCGTGTGAGTGATTTGAGAAACTCAGCGGCGATGTTTCCGGACAGACATTATCACCGTGTTCATTTGGGAAAGTCCGCATCAGGACTTGGTCACAGCATGCCAATGATTGTAGTTTTTGTATGGGTTCATGTGTCCCAATGTGTGTGTGTGAGAGAGGAGAGGGGGGGGGGGGGGGTTGGGGGTGGGAAGAATAGTCCCACTGTCTTCAAACAAGTATGTCGTAGGAGTCGACTAATTAGAAGTGTTTTCTTTAAAGTCGGAGTGTCTCTGTCTGAGAGGCGAGGAACTAACAGTCTGCATTCAAATAAGGGAGATTTGTAAAAGGAATGTGCTTGCAAAACTCAAGACCCGAAACAAGACTCAAATCCAGAAGTGGGCGAACATCTGAACTGTCGACTGGAGTTTACGGTCGGTGGACGCAAAGAAGTAGATGACTGTAGTCTTTGGTATAAGGCAATTAAGCTTGTATTGTCATCATGTAGGATCTTTCCTCAATTCTTATTTGAACCTTTTTATTTATCATTTAGTAGGATTATCAGTCGACAGAAATTACTTCTTTAGTAGGTTTAAGGGTTGGTGAACCCAAACGTATTTTCCGAATCTTTCGACGGAGGTTTTCAGCCATGTACAACATGGTGGCGTACAACATAGACGCGTACAACATGGACGTGTACAACATATACGCGTACAATATGGACGTGTACAACATGGACGCGTATAACATGGACGCGTATAACATGGACGCATTGCAGGTGTCTTGCATGAGGTTCCAGGTAAACCTACACAGAACCTGCTAATGTTCCATGTGAGTTACCCAGCACAACGGCCTTAACATTCCCCCAAACACGTGATCGACATTAACACACCACCAGCAAGGACGCTATTTTCTGCAACTTCTGCTGAATCTGCTGGACGGGTGCAATAATATAGCAAAGTGGTTGGTGGCTCTACAGAATTCACGGCTGACAAGGATTAGTTTCATTTTCGTACCAGGACATGTGGGGGTACCAGGAAATGAGCAAGCTGAAAGGCTTGCAGATAAGGCTACTGTGAAAGCCGTATAAGCCATGGACCAGGCTGACATACTGAATGCTCTAAGAGAGTTAAGACGTTTGTGTGAACCAACTGAGAACTGTGAATCTGCAACCATGGTCAGACTGCAAGAACAATATGTTGAGCGGGGTGTCGCCAAACAAGAACACTACGCGGGTAGCCAAAGAATAATAATAATAATAATAAACCAACACAGAACTGGTGTCGTTAGCGTTAACTAACTAACTAACTAACTAACTAACTAACTAACTAACTATATAACTAACTAACTCTAACTAACTAACTAACTAATCTAAACTAACTAACTAACTAACTAACTGACTAACTAACTGACTAACTAACTAACTAACTAACTAACTAACTAACTAACTAAATAACTCAACTAGTATGATCCCCCCCCCCCCCCCAAAAAAAAAAGGCTTCGAAAATCTACATGGACTTATTACTGAAAGTGACTAAAGACTGACTGAGATGTATACCTACCATCGCCTGCATCTAAAAGTGACTAAAGACATAACCAGAGATGTATACCTACCATCGCCTGCATCTAAAAGTGACTAAAGACACAAACAGAGATATATACCTACCATCGCCTGCATCTAAAAGTGACTAAAGACATAACCAGAGATATATACCTACCATCGCCTGCATCTAAAAGTGACTAAAGACACAAACAGAGATATATACCTACCATCGCCAACATATCATCGGGTATATTACTGCCCCTGAAATACGTCGCCCCATCTGGCTGGCTGCCCTTGCTCACTAGAATACTCGATGACCTTGCAAGCTCGGAAGCTGCCTTCTTCTGGGTAAGATACCATTTGACAAAGATTATTATTATTATTATATTATTATTATTATTATTATTATTATTATTATTATTATTATTAAATATTATTAAATATTATTACTATTAATAATAATAATAATTTTTTTTTTTTTTTTTTTTTGGAAAACATAAGTACTTTGGAGCAAACTTTAACTGCTGAGAGAAGAAATACAATTTAGATTACAATCTTAAATAAAAAAAAGTACACTATGCCCTTCAACGTATGCTAAAGTCAAAGTGTATGTCTCGCAACACTAATATCAAAATATATAAAACGTTGATAAGACCAGCTCTGAAACTTTGAGCACAGCTAAAAGAGATGAAGCCTTATTACAGGTTTTCGAAAACAGAGTCTAACGACAAATGTTTGGACCCATCAAAGATGCAAGCAGCTGGGAATGGATAGTGAAATGCAACAAAGAAATTTATAATCTGTTTAAATCACTTCTGAACAATGGCATCATGAGAGCTAATAGACTGAAATGGTTGGGACATATTGGAAGAATGCCAGATGTCAGAGAAGTGAAAACACAAGGTAGGTGTATGGTCATAGACCATGAGGCAGACCAAGAAGACGATAGAGAGATCATGTCCAGACAGTAGATAAAGCCTATAGTTTTGGTTAGTTTTAGTGTTAAGTAAACGCGCGAAAACCTTGGCCTTTGAAGAAACATGCTGAAGCATTGAAACAACCCTCTACGTCGCCCAGCTTCTGAGTTGAGTGCATGGCGTGACACTGTGAGCTGCGTTTGTTTTTCGTTGGCACAGGAGCGGAGCATCTGTGGGGTGACCCGTTTGCTATGAAGCTGAAACTAGGATTACCAGATTACCAAATTACAATACTTTTTTTTTTTTTTTAAATCTGTTTATTGGTTCAAAACATAGTTTAAAATATTTCTTATATACATTTACAAAAGCAAAAAAAATAAAATGAGAAAAAATGATTTAAAAAAAGATGGTGCATGTTACTAACCCTCCACCAACATTTGAAAGAGAATAGATTGAAGTAGGAGGCAGAAACAGACAGCGGGTAAGGAAAGAAGGGGGCTATTCATGTTTCTTTGTTGGTGGAGTTGATTACAATACTAGACTGTCCCGTGACGTCATTTGTAGTCAGATAATAAGAGTGAGTGAGTGACTTTCTACCCCACCAGGACATCACACAAGCGATAAACACCCGATGACACAAAGTGCCACCATGTGGATGAGGATCACCGTGGAGAGGTCCCAGAAACCGCGTTCAGACATTTGGCCATTTTTATCGCCTGCCTATATTGCGGCTCCTGGCAAAAGCCAGAGTGGGGCTTAGATAATAAGACTTGACTTGACTTTCTACCCCACTAGGACATCACACAAGCGATAAACACCCCGATGACACAAAAGTGCCACCATGCGGATGAGGAACGCCGTGGAGATGTCCCAAAACCGCGTTCAGACACTCTGGCCACTATTTATGGCCTACTATATTGCGGCCCCCCGGGCAAAAGCCAGGTGTGGGGCTTCAAATAACAAAAAACTCAAATTTCGCCCTAAAAAGGGACTACTGGGGTTACATAAGATACTAAGAAGAAGCATCATTTTGGGGCGAAGATAGCCTGATGCAAAAGAAAGAAGCGATACATAAATTCTTGTAGTCAGCGGTATCCATGTTGTAGTCTAGAGAAGAAGACGAAGTGTGACGAGAGTAACCTTGACATACCACACAAAACTTGAAAAAAAAAAAAAAAAAACACGAACTGGTTGGATTGGCCTTTTTACGTCCACCATGAACATCACATAAGCGATAAACACCCGATGTACAAAGTTGCCTGACTCTGCGGATGAGGGTAATCACCGTGGAGAGGTCCAGAAAGGGCGTTCAGAACATGTGGCCATTATGATGGACCTGCCTCTATATTGCGGCCCTAGGCTGGCAAACAGCAACTCAGACAAACTGGTACTAGAAAATATACTGAACTATACCCACCATCGTCAGCCTATCATCAGATATGTTGATGCTCATGTGATCGTCTCCCTTGTTGCCCTTGTACACGTAAATAGTCGGCCTTAATGACCTTGCATCGCCGTAAGCGGCCTTCTGGGTAAAATAATATTTTCGTAACCAAAATTATAACCAATCCTACTACTATTATTGCTGCTACTATTACTACAACAACAACAACAACAAACTACTACCACACTACTACTACTACTACTACTACTACTACTACTACTACTACTACTACTACTACTACTACTACTACTACTACTACTACAACTTCTACTACTACTTCTATACTTCTAACTACTTTACTACTACTACTACTACTACTACTACTACTACTACTACTACTACTACTACTACTACTACTACTACTGCTGCTGCTGCTGCTGCTACCACATTTCTTTTTGCTTTTTCTTCTTTTTCTTCTTCGTGTATTGTGTCTTTGAGAGTACGTAAACCTGTGCATGTTGTTATATCGCTGTATGTTATCTGTTGTCTGTGTGCATGTCATGTCTGCGTGTTCGTGTTGTTACTATGCTTTTTTTTTGGGGGGGGGGAGGGGGGGGGGGGGACGACAACAACAACAACAAGAGAATTGGTCTGCTTATAACTTTTATGTTTCTATGTTTGTATTTGATTGTTTCATTTGTTTTGAATGTGTAAGTAACTTTTGGCACATGGAACGTTTGCGTTTGGTTGTCAAATCAGTCAAGAACCTTCTACCACCAGCTGCCCACTGAACCAGATGGTGGAGGTTTGATGACAAAACTTGATCTCCTTCTCGAGTGAACCAGAATCAACATAAACTATACGTTTGTACGGAAGTTGTGAAGCAAAGTTGATTCTCTTGGCGTCATAACAAAGTACTCACCGACTTGGTAGCTATTATAGAGGCAAGGGAACCAAAGTTGGACTAGAAGCGACGCATTTCCTCAAAGTTGTCTCAGAAAGATTGTCAACTTCGAACCTTATTTATAGGGCAAGAAACTGAACCTGAAGGGTCATAACTTGTATTTTAAAGTAAATAAAGGACATTTCTAGGTCAGCGGGGCATATGATGCTAGGCTCAAATTATAATAGACCAATCAGCACTCAGTTGGTGATGTGCTTGACATCACGAGGGTCACCTTTACTTTCCACAAATTTCCCCTTACCCATTTTAGGCTGGATCAACTGTGAGACAAGGTCAATTTGGGAAATACAAATACATATCGCAGTGTGGGTTCCAACTTAACACCTTGGGCTCGAAAGCTGGCCTTGTCACCCAATCTGGTTCATAACCTAAATATCAACTTAAAACACCCAGACATTTGTATTGCGCTGAACACCGATACAGCTTACTGCCTCTTACCCATCGCCAGTCGGTTACCAGTGAGATAACCAGATCATCGCTGAAGACCGATACAGCTTCCTGCCTCTTACCCATCGCCAGTCGGTTACCAGTGAGATCCCCAGATCATCGCTGAAGTTTTGGAGTCTAAGACAGCAGCAGTGTGAAGCTAATCACTCCCACTTCCCGTTTCGTTTGTTAAATGTAAATAGGGTTAAAGAGCCGAGCCGAAGCATTCGTGAAAAGGAACCTAATCTGACAATCAGAAGTCTACTGCTGTGCTAATTCACTATGAAGTTATTTACGACTATCCACACATATAAAACATTGGATTACCAAGCTGTCAAAATCTCTGTTAATCCCCCCGCCACCCCCACATGCCCCATCCTTTTTGTTTCAGTCGAGTTACTCAACGTTTTCTAATCCATATCAAACTAATCCTCATCCTGAATTATTTATTGGTAGACTGACCTATTTATTGAAATTGAAGCTAATACCTATCTATGATGTCGGATAAAGTAACTAGGATTTTCCACTTTTGTTTTAGGAAAACAGTTTGTTTGAAATCTGCTCACCATTC